GTACAGACATACATATAGGCAAAACACCCATGTGTTCTACATTAAAAGCCAAGCAAAACAAACCCCCTCTCTTCCCACAGAGTAGCACTCTTTGGTAATACTTGCTTCAAAGCTATGGGGAAACAAGCACTCTGAGTATGGACCCCATTGTCTACAGAGCTATGTTCTTCAAGGGCATGGAATAAAACTTGATTCTGTTGAGCGAGCTGTAATTTTAACATCCCCCCTCTCCCCCCAAAAAAACCTACAGGAGGAAGTGACATTGTCCAGTGTTACTGGTGCTCTTGGTCCCACCCTGTCCCTAGCACAGTTATTATTCCGTCCTCCTCTTAATCTATGATAGCTCATCTCTCCTCAAGAAGTGTAATTAATTGTTTAAATCTCTCCTGTCTTTTCTTTTGAGGCAAATGTCTCACTCAATAATCCAGACTTTCCTAGAACTCACTCTGTGTAACCCAGGCTCTCCTTCAACTCATGGAAATCCTCCTGCCTCAGCCTCCCAACTGCTGGGATTGCAGGTAGGGAGTATAATAATTTTAAGTGTGACAATTCATACCACACTTTTAGGAGGTCCCTTCACCGTGAGAGCAAACAACCAACCCTGAAAATTAGTCACAAATGTCTTGGGACAATAGAAAAGCAAGTGGTTTCCAAGTGTCCTTTTTCCCTTCTCTGGGAGCTCTGTGGACCTGTTCCCTAGCCAGGTGCAATCTCCTTGTGTACCCTCCATTCCCCTCTTCTCATTACAAAGCTGTCTTCCCCCAGCAGTTTTGACAGCCATATGTAGGGGCTGATTTTTGCTTTGAGCTCAAACAGCCTCTAATACAAACCAAATCTCAGGTTAATCTTGGTATTGTGTTCTATCCCAAACTGCAGTAATCCTGCATGATTGACAAACTCTTCAGTCACTGCCTCCTCCAAGCATGAGTGCACAGGGCCTGACCCAGACCCTCTCCTAGCCACATTGGTAGCAGCAGTATGGCTACTGCCAGGTTCTCACTGGGAGAACTTGAAACGGTGAGCCCTGATCCAAAGGCATCAAATCCCACACCATTGTGTTTCTGAACAGTGTTTGAAAATGAAGCAAGGAACTTCAAGATTTGCACTCAAGCCCTTGTAGTTACAGGTAGAGAATTTCCTGCAAAGCCCTTGGGCCTGGTTGTAGTAGCCATGTCAAAGAACATTTGATGTTAACATGCCCTGATTTAGAACTTCTCAGAAAAAGAGAGGAAGTAGCAGTTGCCCCTGGGATAGTAGATCTCCTGCCAAGATAGCAGGACATTCCCCCTGGCCTCAGCTCTTCTGCTGTCTGCTCCGAGGGAAAAATGGCATCCTAGTAGGGGTGGAGGGGATCACAGACCTGATGTGCTAGTGTTGGGCTTCACAGGGGAGACTGCATTTTCATTTGCATAGGAAATTGACATCCAGGTTACAGAATCTTGAGTTTCATCTTCTAAGAAGATCACAGAACGTAGTGCAAGGTCAGGCTGGCATGAAATCAATTGTAATCTGCCAGCAAGCCATTCAGACCTCTTTAAGAGTGTTCTTTTATGTTTTCCCCTTTATAGAGAGAGAAAAGTACATTTAAGGAATGTCTCATCAAATCAGAATGTCTTCCTAAAATTATTTTTTTTAATTGGTTGGTACTATAGTATGCCCTATGGCCTCCTGGTATTTAACCCTCTGTGCAACTTTGATTAATGAACAAATTTTGTCAACTCTAGTGGCCTTGCTAAGTGTATTTTAGTGGACTTAAGAAAATTACAGAATATTAAGAAAACCTCCGATCTTTCCACCTAATTGATTGGCTGTTGCTGATGCCATCTCTCTGAGTGTAATGCTGCTTAAGTGCGCAGGCCTAACTATTTTTCTTATTTTTATATAGCAGTTCCATTTTATAATGACATTAAGCCATTCAGAGCAATATGTTGCTGGACAGTTATTGCACGAGTAGCAAGTGTCATCTGGCTTTTAGTCTTGTGCCTAACAACACCAACTGAGGCGTAAAATGATGCCCAGAAAATGTGCAAGGCTTTACCTCATTATTAAAGATAAATCTGGGAGTCTGGTTCTGTTTCAGAAAAGATTTGGTGAGTTATAACATTTGATTTATGGGTGCAATTAAAATATAAATGATAAGTTCTGGCTCTTCAATCAGCCATCTGGATAGTTTGATATTTTGACATGTCTCTGTCATAGCCAGGGTCTTTTGGGGGACAATTTAGTGCCCCTAATTTCTTGAGACATCACCGGAATCCCCATGTTCTCACTCCACATGTTGAAGTGTCTTTAGTTCCTCAGTTAGGACTTAGAAAGAATAAAAGTTCCCTTTAAGTTTCCTATCACCTCAGAGGCAGATCTTGGTGCTCAGTCCTTCTGTTTGGTTTATAGGATATGAAGAGAGTTCAGCTGCCCATGGTCAGATAATACTGTTGGTCAATGAAAAGGGACCCTTTAGTGTACAATACAAGCAATATTGATGTGTGCTTTTTCTGCTAGCCATTAGGGTAACTATGGCAGCTGTGTCCGCACCTAACGTAGTTGACTCTTCTCCAGGTACTTGGGCCATAAATTGTGAAAATTGGTGATCAATGTTCAGGGTGTAGTTTTCATGACATAAATACAAATTTCAGGCATTGTAAGTCCTTCACGTACTCTTTCTGATTTAAGTGTGTGATTGACACTGATAAACAGCTCATTGGGAACATGTGTTTAAAAAAAAAAGGAAAGTGTAAGACAAAGTCAGTAATAGCAAAGAGGCAGGGTTAGCCTTCGCTACACTTTATTATTAATGAAAGTTGAACATGGGAATACATGAGCACACTGCCCTCAAAATACACATTTCCTGTTTGCTTGTAAATTACACTAAGGAAAGAAACAACAGAAATTTTGCACACATACTAGCAAGACAGACCACTAAGCATAAACCAGCAAGCGCAGACCAGAACAACAAGCATGCTTTGGCAAGCACAGGTAGCAAGTGCAGATCAGCAGCCATTCTGTTCTCCTTAACCAACCGGGCTGAAATCAGCAGGGCCTGAAAATACCCAGCTTGCCTGTGGCTCACAGATGAACCTATAAGCAGATTCTATGCTGCTGCCTAGATCTGAGACTCTATGTTTATGTCAGAAGTCCCCTAAGCAAGATGTCTTGGGTGTGGTTTGGTTTCTCAGTGTGAACTCTTAGACAGATCTTTTGTTATCTGTGTGTCATAACCTCCCATTTGCTTTTGTTTATCCCTTTAAAAAACAGTTTTCATCAAATAGCTGTATGCCAGGCAGGAACTTGTATCACCAAAAATAATAGACATGCAGTACACCTCCAGGTTCTGTTTAGTCTAAGATAGAAAGGATCCTAAAGGAGCCCTTCTTCAACCCCAGAGCCAGTACTAGGTCAAGGTCACCCTATTTATTCTATGCATATCTATCTGCTTTGCTCTAATGTCATTTATCAGGATCCTCACCATTTTGCTTTGCCAGTAAGTCCAAGGGAGGGACTGTGTGACTTGCACTGGCCATCTGGAGCTTCTGTCAGCTCCGTGTCCTCTAACAAGTGACACTGCTCTTCAGAAAGTACTACCCATTGCCAGTGGGCAGTGCACACCGGCGGGTGCTCAAGGAGGCTCTCTTAAAAGGACCTTAATGTCCTAGGTTCTCTATGACATAGCAAAAGGTATGTAATGGGATCCAGACTAAAAATCCATCTGACAGCAGCTGTCCTGGAGGATGACTCCCCTGTGCAGCGTCCATAGCTGCGTGCGGGGTGAGGCTGGCAGAGCCTGGCCGTATTTCTGTCTTCTCTCCTGTTCCATAGGATGCATGCTAATGAGCTCACCACTACTTGTAAAGGCCAAGGGGCTGTTGTTTAGGTGATGTGATTGTGCATGGGAAAGTGAAACTATGGTAATTGTTTTGACCTTTCAGCCAGCTGATGTCCTGCCCTCTCACACTTATTACTCTTGGGTCCATTTTCAAAAATATACATTTACAGAGCCACAGAATTAAATGTGAAGCATAGGAAAATATCTGATTCCACTCAGGTTCTATTTATAAATATCTTTGTCCATCTATCCGTGTTGATTCTAACTACTTCTGCTTCCCTCCCTGGTCCCTGAACCCTCATCATTCATTTCTGCTACCCACATGCCATCTCACCAGCAATCTCAGCTTTACGCCACTGTTGGAAATAAAAATAACATATGTCTCTTTGCTGAATGCACGGTTGTATTAGAAAACTACACTCAGCTTTAATTATGGAGTGCCTTTGGAATCAGAACTTTGCCCCACTCTCCATTCTATAGAGCTGTATGGTATTGTGTTGTCTCTGTGGCCTTCAAGTAGCTGTGTCATTTGTGGGTACCAAAGTTGTCATCCCTGAAACCCTTGCTTATCCCATTTTGGGTAATAGTTCCTCAGATAGTGGGCTCTGGGTGAATCTCAGTCTCTTTGCTCTTCTGTGTTTATGTCAGGATGGTTTCATTTAGGGCCACCCGTCTCTCCCAGGTCTTTTCCTCGTAAAGCTGTGTGTGTGAAATTCAGGAAACAATTTGATAGCAGGAGCATAGACGAGCCAACTTATTAATATGCAGTGTCAAAACACATTGTCACATGGTATTATGTAATATACGATAAAATGTATCAATTCTGAGCACCACAAATATCTGGAGCTTCACCTCGGCATGAAGGCGAATGAGTTTCCCTTAGCTTGACTGAGTTTAGAGATAAACTTCAGTGTAACAAAATGTATTTCACAGGAATTGTTTGATGTGGCACAGTTGGCTTATGAATCTCTTATCTATTCAAGGTTCACTCCTTAGAGTTATTAGTCAATTTAATTTGAACAAATGCCAGGATTACTAACTAATTAGCAGGATGTTGCTGAAGGCACATGGATGGGGAGAGAGTACGCACTGGCCGTGTGGGGTTTGTGGCAGTCTGCAGGTCTGATCTGCCTGATGCTATCGTTTGCTAAACATCACACTTTATGTCATTGTCACACAGATAAGCCGCAAGTGCATATCCAGATGACTTACCCTCTACAAGGCCTAACCCGGGAAGGGGATGCGCTTGAGTTAACATGTGAAGCCATCGGGAAGCCCCAGTAAGTTCTGAAGGCCAAGGTTGGCAGAGGGTCGTGAGCAGTAAATGTCATAACATGAAGATGTGCATTCACAACTCATTGGCCTGTCATCTGTCTCCTGCTGTAGAAAGGATGGATGATTTTTCCGAAAACGACGAATATTCAGTGAGAGGGGAATGAATACCTATGACTCTTAATGGTCAGGATCGGGAGGAAAGTGCCAGCTAAAGCTGGAATTCTGGTGAATTCTGTTTATTGTTGTCAACAGGCTGCTCACAGCTATTTTCTTTTACATTAAATTTCAGCATACTGGGGCTGGAAAGATGGCTCAGCAGTTAAGAGCCCTCACTGCTAGTGTAGAAATCAAAGTTTGGTCCCCAGCATCCATATCAGGTGGCTTACAACAGGCATATCCCTCCAGCTCCAGGGGATCCAGCCCGCTTCTAGCCTCCATAGGCACCCACCCAAGGAGACACATGGATACACAGAAATAAAAATCATTTAAAATATAAGTAAACTCTCAATACAATAGAATGTCTGCTAATAAGGGTGTTCTTGTCACAGCTGGTAGATGGTTTTCTAAACTCTGGGGTACAGGGCTTAGGGCCAGATGTAGAAAAAAAATGCTTCCAAGTGCTGTACTCGACCGAGAAGCAGCTTTGTTGGCGGGGACTGCCCTTAAGAAGAATGTTACTGTCGCTGCCCAGGAGGAGAGGACAGCCGACAGACTCTTGTGTTGCTGAGGAGTGTGACAGACATGCTCTGTTTACCTCTGCACAATAATCCAGATGCATCAGAAGAGTGGTGTGGATCGCCACTGCCGTGGCAAACAAGCCTTGTGGCTGCTCTCCTGCAAATATCTCACAGTTTACTTAGAGAAGAGGGAAGAAGGGTTTTTATCTTTCTAGTAAAACAAAATGTTTTTTTAACTCTTTTAAAGGAAAATGAAACAAACAACCATCCCAGTTCACTGAATCATAAAATGGAAGGACAGGTCAAGTTGGGATTACGGGCACTAAAAAGCAAAACAGTCCTAATAGGAGAAGCAGCAGTGAGCTCCCTCTGCTGTCCCTGTGGCATGTTGTCGGTTTCCCCTCTCAGTCTGGATAAACATCATCTGCTCCATTCTCATATAAAGACCTCGTAGCATCCTAACACAGCTTTCCTCCGTATCCTTGGAGAGAGTTCTCCCTTTGATAGCTAGAGGGGAGCCTGACCATGGCTAATCCTTCTCCGTCCTCTAGGCATGGGCTAGTTAGCCTTCCCTGCCTGAGGAAGCAGAGCTAGAAAGGTAACCTTTAGAGGAAGGTGGATCTGCTTCTATTTTGCTTCTTTTCGGTGCTGCTGATTTTTTTGATCCCAGCTTTGACAGAGAAGACTTTTTCTCTTTTAAGTCCTTCAAAAAGATTTAGATCTTTTCTTTTATAAAGTGATTTATGCCCTAATTAGCAGCCTCCCTTGCCTCCCAAACAACCCCAGTGGACTAAGGGAAAACACTTCTCATGGGCCCCTGTTTACAGCACCTATATTCAGCCACATCAAGCACATTTATACTGCTTGGATTACTAACCTGTATTTCTGTATTTTTTTTCCTAAAGAAGAAGGTACTGTGTTCGATTGCATGTACCACAGGGACAGTAAATTACATGTTTCCTTCAGGACATTTTTGCCAGGGAGAGTATTTGTTTGTTACTCTCAAATTGGAAAGGGTATGTGGCTGTATTACTCCGTAGCAGTCCTCTCCTTGCATATTACCTATTTATTTTCTCAAGAAATTGCATACAATAAAAATGGTAATTTAACTTGCCATTATATGTTGTGAATATTCTCAGTGCTTACCCCCACTGATTGTTTCAGCTGTCAAGCAGCAGGACGTGAGGTCTGATTGCCAGGCAGCCCCATTTGCTACTGCCTACAGGAGGGCATATGCAGCACTAACTTTTAAATAATTTACTGCATTGTGATGACAAACCCATGTGTAATTAAAGAAAAATTGCAACTTCACATCCCATTTGAACACTGGAATGCTACTTGACAGGCCTAACTTGAGCATCCGTTTGTCATTTATGCCTGGGTCTCTCTACCCATGTCACTGCTCCTAGAGGAAGTGATAGGGACTGAAAGACAATTGCTTGTGTGTTTAAACCAATGTCAATTATTCCTTTCAAATAAAAGATGGGGTATGACCAGAGGGTAAGTGCTTGCCTAGCACTCACCAGTCCCTGGGGTCTGGCTCCAGCATCACACAAACCACACACACACACAAAAAAAAAAAAAAAAAAAAAAAAAAAAAAAAACATGTCTTCAGATGCACTTCTAGATCCGCGCTTGGTTTCCTAGGAGCGTGGGAGGGGCACCTTGAAGACACCGGCTGCAAGTCCAGTGAGTGAAAGGCTTGGTGTGCATGCTCTCACCTCTCCAGAGCATCTTGTCAAATTTGCTCTTCCATAATGGCTGTCTTAAGATACGAGTGCTATTTCAAGTCACTAAAACTTATTTCTGATAAGCAAGTTCCCGTGTTGGACCTAAAGAGTCCACTTTGAGATGTGTCCTTCCGTCATTAATCCAGAACCAAATGCACTCACAGGGAAGGTCCAGCCATTTCTGGACCTAGAAGACAGAGGACCAGTTACTGATCAGAGGCAGATAGACAAGGTGAACAGAGCCATCCAAGTGGCATCTTAGGTGGGGAGAGTAAGGCTAAATGGAGAGGAAGTGATTGCATCTTTTGAGAATCAAAGGTAGTTTTTCCAAAAACAGATCAAAACAAAATTCTGTGTAAACCAGGACTAATGGCACAGACCTGCAATCCCAGCTGCTCTGGAAGCAGAGTCAGGAGACTCACTACCATTTCAAGGGCAGCCTGGTCTACACACCAAGTTCCAACCCAGCTAGGGCAACCTCGAGAGCAAACGGTAATTAAAGAAGGCTGAGGATATAGCTGTACGGTAGAGCCAGCATGTTAGGGGCTCACTGGAGAAAGGAATGAAGGGAGATGGGGAGGGCTGTTCAGGGGTCTTCGTCTATTTAAAACTCACAAGAGGTTTCTGAGCAAGCAAACATTTGGTACGTTAGTAACCATTAGGTTATTGCATGCACCACTAGCCAAGACCTTGCTTTTTCCTTCCTCTCTAATTAATGAGCTGATTAACAATGGGTGAGCTCTGTCCTGACCGAATTGGTGTGAAACCACACAGCAGGGCATGTGAGTTGGCCATGTTGGCTTATCTGCTGACTTACTGAAGATGAACTGGGAATCAAAAGACTCCCACTTAGCAAGTCTTGAAGGTCTCTAAACACCAGATTATGTGTTTTAAAGTCATATCTCAAGCATATGTTTGACAGTTGCATGATCTTAATTCTGTGACCCTCACACTCCAGTGGGTCTGGTTAATTGTGTCACCCTGCATGTGGTCAGTTTGCTGCACTGATGAGAAACTGGCTCCAGATACCTGAGCAGGGAATGATCCCGTGACCTGTCTTTCTCGCCTTCCCTCTGCAGGCCCGTGATGGTAACTTGGGTGAGAGTCGATGATGAAATGCCTCAACACGCCGTACTGTCTGGGCCAAACCTGTTCATCAATAACCTAAACAAAACAGATAATGGTACTTACCGTTGTGAGGCTTCTAACACAGTGGGGAAAGCTCATTCAGACTACATGCTGTATGTATACGGTACGTGAGAAGATGAAACACTCCCCTACTCGCCCCTCTGCATGTAGCTGCTGCCTGGGCTTCACCCTCAAAGCCGTTGGTCAAGTTGAAAACAAAAAACAGTTGGTGTCACACAGGAACTTAAAGAAGCCCGAGGTGGACCCCAGTGACTGTTCTTCTCCCCCTCTGACTGTGGGGTTTCCCACGAGATCACGGTCTCTGATCATGCTGAGTACGAAGGCTGTCCTTCGGCACAAGTCATGGATCCTATGTTAGAAGTAATGTCTGAAATATTCAGCCTTACCAATTAGTGGCGTTCAGCTCAGAAAATTTATTCCCAGTGGTTTTTTTTTTTTCCTGTAATGCGTGGGCTAGCCTTTCTCCTGCTTTGATGAAAAAAAAATCTTATTTTCAACATGAAGCTATTAAATCCAGAAGACTTTGCAAGCCAGTAAACACTCAGAATAAATACAAAGTCTTTGGTAGTTCCACAGACCACCTATGTCTTCTATTTTAGACACAAACACCAACTTTTAAAAATATGCCATGTTTTCTTAATCAACATTTTTCTACAAGGTTATTAAAACATTTTACCATGAATTTCACTTTAGAATCAACAAATATGCATTGAACACCTATGGCAGCAGGCATTTCCCATTTCTATCTTGCTGCTGATTTTACATATTGTGACTATCCTCTATTTAGTTGAGAAGTACATTCTCTATAGTCTTGTACTATCAAATTGAATCTCTTCAGTCCAATTGAAGTCTCTTCATTTTATATTAAGAAAAAGTTGTGCACTGGCCCAACACGTAATGAATTACAAATATTTGAATATGGGGGCCACATTCCTGTCTTCATGATAGCTTTGTAAACCATCCAAGTTAAGTTGTAAGTGTGTGAATGTAGGCATAGACACATAAATTATACATATGGAATAGTATTTAGACTATACTGTCTCAGAACCTGGGCACCCTCCTTATGAAGAAAAAAAAAGGAGAGGTATTTTTGAACAGAGTCGCATCTTTTCTACCATACCTATATGAATATGAAATTATAGTCCTTAACCTATACCTGAGGGGTTTTTCCCCCATTAGCACAGTGGTTCTCAACCTTGCTAAGCTGCAACCCTGTGGTGACCCTAACCATAAAATTGTTTAGTTACTACTTTTATAACTGTAAGTTTTCTGTTATGAATTGCAATGTAAATATCTGATATACAACCCAAAAGGGGTTGAGACTCACAGATTGAAAACTGCTGTCTTAGCATAATGTAGAATTAAAAGATCCTGTCAAATCCCTATATTTGCAAGCTTGGAGAGTATGCTATCTTTGCATGCTGCTCAGTCTCACTAGTGCTCATTAGAACTGTTCTCAGTAGTTAAGGAAATCCACGAAAGAGAATGGTTTTGCTATGTAGGTGAGAAAGGGCACAGGGCACCTGGTTTCAGCTGGCAAGGTGCAGAACAGCTCTGCTACACTCTTTGGCAGGAATGGAAGATGCTTTCCTCTCTGCGCTCTTGCAGACACCCCTTCCACTCTAAGGTCTAAGCCTGATGTAAGTGCCCCTGACATCCGTGCCCAGGTTTATAGACATCAGTCAAGTTCTCCTTACAGACTTCACATTACAAAAAGCATTGATCACTTCCTGCCAGTCTGTGACGCACTTCTCTGACTCATGACTAAAAAAATGGTTCAATTTACAGTGCCTACTATTCCTATTTCTCAAGATGAGAAGAAACATTTTGATGCCTTGTTTGGCAAACATATTTGCATAATTTGGAAAATGAGCTTATAACCAGAATTTGTTGAGTGTTCTCTTCATGCTCTTTCCAGCATTGACAATTTTAGATGATCTCATCCAATTTCTACACCCTGCTCTGTGCTTATTTTTCACCCCATTCAACATATGATAACATGAAGCTTAGAAAGATCATATAACATGGCCTAGTTCACAAGGTTCCCAGATCTCCTTAGGGCCACCATACTGTAATCCCAAAACCTACTGCAAAGTTGGTCTTTGCAATTCTTCTTATTCTCATGGCTTTTCAAGAGAGATTAAGTCCCTCCAAAATAAGATTGGCCTTTTAAAATTAGCCCCCTGGATCACAATGCATTATTTGAAAACCAGATATTATAGGAACTCACCTGTATGCAAACATACCTGTATACAGACATATCCATGATCCATCCAGGCTACTAGGGATTCTCTGTCTCTTGCTCCCTGCTAGTAGTACCATTAGAATGGCAGGCCAGCATGCTAAACCGAAGTGTTGCTGATCTAGTAACAAAACATTCTAACAGTTTGGGCAGGGATGGGTAGATTGTCTTTCCAAAGCAATATATTGTAGTACTTTTGCAATTTTTTAAGTACTCTGTGAATTAAAAGTTGCTACACTTCTAAAATATTTAATTCTCTAGAAGTAACTTCTCTACTTGAAGCATCTGGCTGGTTAGAGCCCGAATCCCAGTTGGGTTTGTTTTTTTAGCATCCATGTTTCAGGCACAGCTCATTAGCTTCAGCTCTTTCTGTTCCTCCCTATGTTTGTTGTGATGCTGCGCACTGATTTCAGGGCTTCTGGCATACTGGGTAAGCACTCTCCGATGAGCTACATCCCAGCCCTCTGATTTCTGAAAGAGTGGCCTTGTGCTACCCTTCTTACTGAAAATGACCTCAGCAAGGACGTTTTACCTGATAATGGAATCTGATTCATTCAAGGTTTCCTGAACCAGATGTGAAGGACCAGATTTGCCCTGTAGTGATGGAGATCCCTGGACATGTACCATTTTTACATATTAAGAGGTCCTGGTGACCTCCCTGACATCTATCCCCTTGTTCATCTTGTCGGCCTTTTGGTTCATAATCATATCTTCAGATCACATTCGTGCTCAGTCTTATCATGTTGCACACATCATATGCTTTGTGCTATTGCATTTAGAAGAGGTTTTGAAAATAACATTAGAGTACAGCTTAGCAAGTCTTCCGAGTAGCAATATTGCTGTTCAGTGACAATACTATAATTGAAGCAAACAGAAAACGCACATTATTTGTCCCTTGGATGGACAGGAGGTACGCTCTGTACAGTTTACTTGTAGCGGATGGAGGCAGTGTCTCCCGTGCTGTCTGAAGTCTCAGGGCACTCAGCTCATCTGTCTCAAGTTGGCACCTGTCATTGATGTAAATGTGTTCAAACAAGTTGCCCAATCACAAAGACAACTTTCTCACCTGTGGCTTCCATAAAACACACCAAAGGACAAGACTGAAATGATGCTCAGTCATTTCTTATCCTGTTCTTTTAAAAAGGTAATTTAAATTTTAAATTTCATCATTTCTGCTTCTTAGGATGAGACTTTGCCTGCAGTCCTTTTTTTTTTTTTTTTTTACTCATTGGAGACTGCATTAAACAACAGTTTAATTTGCTTGTTTCCCCATCTTCAAGGAGAAAAGCCTGTCATAAAGCAGAGCCATTTGCTGTTGATTCTTCCTTATCAAGTTCATACGAGTATGATTGTGAGAGAGGAGCAGTTGGTGAAGAAAATGAAAACCTTTGATTATTGATCAATGATAGACATCATTTCATGCAGACCTTGCAGCCAAGCACCGAAAGAGTCATTCCATCAACTTCCAGGAAGTTGTGCCAAACCCAGTAAAGGTGCAATATATAATTAAAGTTTTGATGTATTAATTAGACAATCCGAGGGCTCACTTGAAGATAAAAGGACCCCAGATGTGTCAGGGAGAAAAAGCTGACGTGCTTTAGATAAAATTTAGAATCAAAAGCCTTCAAATCGTCCTCTGCTCTATTACAGCAGAGTGATTGCTTAGTTCAAAGTCTCGCTGACAATTTAACACATTCAGTTTGATCATCTGGGCCTAGACTTTTTTTTTTCTTTTTTGCCCTTTTCTTATCCCCAAATAATTTTTGAGATGACAGAAATACAGTGTATCAGGTACCAGACAGAGGCTTCCTCTTGGGCTCCTGGATTTAAGGGTCAAACCTCACTTATATTTAGCTCTCTTGTTTACAAGGTGGAAGATGTTCTTTCATTTTTATCATTGTGGTCCACTTAGGTCAAGCTTTTAACATGAGCAAAGGCAGCTTATTAATATTTATAAGGTGTAAAAATTTATTGACTTTTAAAAAATAACATCTCAGTAAAAATCTCACTTGCCTGGAACTTGGTACTCTGTTCATGGTGACATTCTGTCTTCTTTGTACTTATTATGGATACAGAGGTGATTTTCCTTCCTGCTGGGCTGTATTGATGGAGAATAATGAAGTTAGCATTTGCAGAGAGCATGTGTGCAATGCCACGTCCATCCTTGGCTGATCCAAGCCCTTTAAATGCAGCGGCTCCTTCTCCTCTTTCCTCCCATCTGTGAAGTAGAAAGGGACAGCCATTGTGCTTTCTTGGCACTGAGGTGACTTAGCCTTGCCTTTAAGATCTGGCAGGGTTAAGGGTTTTGAGCGTTTAGATTTTTTTCTCCCTTTTTCAGTTCTCATTTCATTTTTATTCACATCATGCATAAGAAAGCTGTTCTTCTTTTCTTAGCTCTTCCAACTGAGGCTTTGGGGTGTAGTTTCAGACCGACGTCTCTGAGGGCAAGGAACTTGATGGTTTAAAGAAGCGAGCCATCCAACCAACATCTCAGTGTCTCCATGCCTTTGTTTGTCGTTACTGGTCATTGTTGTGTTCAGCATTGTGGGTTTGATTTTCTTTTTTTTTTTATCCAGATCCCCCCACAACTATCCCTCCTCCCACAACAACCACCACCACCACCACCACCACCACCACCATCCTTACCATCATCACAGGTATGGTACCTTCATCGCCATTGGAAATGTCCTCAATGTATATTGTCTTTCTGGTATAAACAAAGAGAAGCCTAGCTGTTCCCTGTAAGTCCTCTGAGCTTAACTGTTCCTTTACTTTGGAACTCCAGAGACACTCAATACTATACTCTTGAATTAAATCTTAAGGCTCTAGAAGGACCTTTAACATCTGATCAGATGACTCGCACCTTAGCGTGAGGCAATTCTTTTTGAAGCCTCACCACCCAAAGCAAAAGCACTAGGAAAAAATGGCAGCCTGGCTGCTAAACCCTCCAGTAGCTTCTGGTTGGCCCCAGCTGATGGACTGGTAAGTATTGCTGCCTGGATCATGTCCTGGCATAAATTTCATCTTAATCCAAGTGAAGAAAGTACATGCACTAAATTTTAGCATGTGTCCTCGGGCCACACTATGGACCGCACTGTCATCTGCCCTTCTCTAATGGGTGCCTGCTGGCAGTATGGCTACATGGGCCTCTTGTTGCCTAGGAGATTGCAGGAATCATAGGGAGCCAATCTTATCCAAGCTGAACACTCATGTGCACCTCCTCTTTTTTACATGGCCTCCCTTCTCATCCTGGTATCCCATGACTCTCAAATAGTTTGGTGTTGCTTGATTGGAAGCCTTTCTTCTGGTCTAGCAAGAGAGGACAGCTCATGGCTTTACCATACCAACTCAAATGTGCATGGCTTGTTAGACCAGGCCTTCCCCAACTCCTACTTCCAAGTGTCCACTCTAATGGAGGAAAGAATCTTAAAAAGTGACTTTGCCACTTAGGTCTGTTACCAAGCAAGTGTCCAATGTCCCTTTGAACCATGAGTCCAGCCTTTTCATCCTTGGACTCCTTGATACACACTGAATATCTCACTTGATGCTCTTCATGTTCAGCTCTTTAGGAACCACCTTCTAGGATCACATTGATTTTTCTGGAGATGTTTTCTTTTCCATTTGCTCAAGAGTCAATGAGACGGCAGAATGCTAAGTATCCAGTGAAAGAGAAGGCCTCATCAGTAGATATTACAATGGACCGTCTAATCCAAGTTTTCTTCACTTTGCAGCTATTGCCGTGAGACAAAGATCTCCGCCATAGCCCACCACTGAAGGGCTTCCTAAATACGGGCTACAAGCACATCTGTGCCTATACTAAATGTTACACCTTCTGAAAAATCCATCAATTGGTTTTGTGTCTCACTTTAAACCTGGCTCCATCTAGAAAGTTTGCTTCCTAGTTCTTGTCTGTGTGTTTCTCCTTGAGCTGTCAGTTCCCCCTGCTTCTTAGTGCATTCAGTTTTGTGTGTAGTAGACCAATCCCTGGCATCTTCTGTAGTGTTCATTACCACATCAAAGATGTTCCTCCTCCTCTGCTTGGATGTCTACAGCAATCATACTGCTGATGCTTCATCCTAAGAATTCAGTTCCTCGTCTCTTATCTAATTAGTAAACTGGACTGGGTGTGTACTTTTGATTGTGTTTGGCTTGGCTGGCATTGCTGGGATGGAACCCAGGGCCTCTGGCATACTAGGCAAACATGTACCACTGAAATATATCCTCAGTCCTTTAGGCATGTGCTTTTCTTACCAGCTTACATAGTAGTTTCCTGTGAAAGGCCTTGGGATGTCAGAACAAATAAACAAACGGTGTAGGTATCACTAGCAGTATGTTCATCTTTGGCAAAGTATGACCCAGCCCTTATACCTCCCATGGTAGAAGATTCTATTTAGGTATCTGTAAGGGTTTACATCTGAAGTCAATAAAGTTTTCACTCATTCTGTGTATAAACCCCTCGTTTTTCTTGAATGTGAAACAACCCTTTCTCACATGTGTCTGGCCTCATCACTGACTTAGGTTTTTGTTTTTGATTTTTTTTTAAATAGGACGTTAGCATTTCCTGACTCTTCTCCATCACTACAATCAATCTCCCAAAGTTATCCGAGTTGTTCTAATTCACAGCTCTTAATCTTTTGCTCCCCAGGACCTCCTCCTCTGAGGTCCTGCAATATCTACAACTCACCATGATCACAGTTCTACTGGCCCAGACTTGATCTAATAAGAAACTCTTAGAATAAACAACACCATATTTCTGTCCACATCAGAGATGACTTCAATCAGAATGTGTCTACTTCTGTCTCTGCTGCTGACCTCTCCATTCAGAATAACTCAGGATGATCTCACAGGTGCACCTCAGTCTGTGGGTGTTAGCTCTTGAATGCACCCGTAGTAATGAATGCCCAGATCTTCAGTGTCACACCCAGGAGTCATTAAACTAACATTGCTACTAAAACAGCCTTACAGAATCCGTCACCTTAACAGAAGTGATCTTTTAGGGCTACTGTGACTTAACAAGTTACCTTCTACATATTTATCTTACCCAGAAAGCAACCTGTAGAATTTAACATTTGTCCTCTTCTCCAAGCAGATTAAAGGTTATGGACTTGGTTCTGTGTCCCATTTTAAAGGTTTAGGCTAACCTCTAGATTTAGATTGGTTCCTAAAGAATCTTCCAGCCGGGATCCTGACAAATGGATAGCTAAATTAATTTCCACTCCTCTCTCTTGTACTGTTTGGTACATTTACAGTCACCATTAGCCTTAAAAGCTTCAACAGCTGAATCCAGTGACAGTAACATAAAGCTGGGGCTCTAAAGGAAAAAGAAGAAGCAGTCACAGTCAGCTATTTCTTTCCTCCTAAGTCAAGCGCAATAACTGAAACTCATTCCCCTGGTCAGGGTTTCATTACCAGGAAAATGTACAAATGCAATAGAAAAAAATATTTTTAAGCTCAAAAGGTCCCAGTTGGTTTCTGAATTTTCCAAAAGAAGCCTTGCATAGCTATCCCCAATCTTCCCCCACCAGGATAATGGAATTGTTCCCCTCGTTAGGAAGGCAGGCTGGCATTCTGTTCCGAGTCATCTGACTCTCTCAACACATGCAACAGCTCCATTCTGAACCCTTAAAGGGGAGGACCCCTATGGCCTCCAGCTCTTCTTTACCCACTCTCCTCACTCTTACACACTGTCCTCTCCAACTGAAGCACATCTGGTGACATGTCAGTCACACCTGAAGGGTTGCCGTGTCTAAGGAAAATTTTCTGCAGGTGTTAAGAAGTGAAAAGAACACACAGGCTGGGTATGGTGTGCACACCTTTAATCCCAGTATTTGGGAGGCAGAGGCAGCTGGATCTCTGAGTTGGAGGCCAGCCTTGTCTCCAAAAAAAAAAAAATAGAAGAAGAAGGAAGAATATTCGTTATCCACCTGCCATATCAACAGAGTTGTAGCCTTACCATTGACATTCTATGGCCTCTCCACATAAGAAACAATTTGAGGATAGAACTGGGTAAGAAGCCATGTAGAGCCTCGTTGGCATTTGCCCTAAAGTTCAAAAGTATCGCTCTCATCTTTCCTGCTCATTGACGTTAGGATCATTTGGTTCTGCTCAACTCTTGGCTTTGGGAAACTCCCACCCTTAGTGTTTTATTTTTTGTCACATCAAGTTGTCCTTGGGGCTTCTTCGTTTGTGAGAGTATATGACATGACACGGGAGAGCAAACCAGATGGACTGCTTGACCTTTCTTCTTAAGAACCCCATGTTTTGGGGCTAGTAGTGGTCCCTGTCTCTGTGCCTGGGGATAGCTGTAGCCTCTTCTTCTCCATTGGGTCAGGCTGCCTTTCTGACGCTTCCTTGGAAAGCGGTCTGTTTCTCTCTTTAATTAACCTGGATCTTGTATTGTTCCTACCTGGTGGAGTCCTGACTTGAGTGCTTGATGGAGAGTGCAGGAACAGTTCTCAGCATTCAATCATACACACACCTAACAGTTTAGACACAAATTCAGGCCAGGGGGAGCTCAACCTGTGGGTCGCAATGTACATGCAACTGCCATAAATTAAAAAAAATTAAAACAGCCTTAGAATAAGAATGAATAGCTATAGGGCCAGATTGTGAGACACATTTAAATATGCTTTTATGAGAATGAAGTAGGTCATTTCTAAATGAGTTTTTCTCTTTTTTTAAAGCATGTATTCAATTAAATATTTGGTGTTTCTTGGAAAGGAAAATAGCAAGGTTTTTCTTATTGGTGTCAAAGCACTCAAAATCCAATATACCTGGGAGGAAGTGGCTCCTAGCCTCAGACCCTTGTTATTATTTGGGTTTTCACAGCTTGATATCATAGGGTTTTTTTTTCCCCCAATGTTAATGTGAATTGGGTCATATAAAGAAGGCAGACACAGGCTTTGTCCTTCAGTGGCACTGCCAGTAAGACACCAAGCTTGCATGCCGTGTCTTAGATGTAAAGGAGAGGACACGTGTGCTTGGTGCTAAGTCTATAATGTGGCCATCTAAGTTGTCATGGAGCTTTGTTCCACATAAAGGTCTCAGTTTCCCAAGTCTCATCCTAGTGATTTCTACCATGCGCTACTGGTATTAGCAGGGTGCAAGGGCTGTAAGCTGATCTGCCTTTCGATTGCATTCCACAAAGATTGAGCGCACAGTGTGTGCAGAGAAGGACTCTTAAACCCCTTCCTGTGCAGCTGAGAGATCCCTGCAACCTGAGTGTTAAGTGTCAAAGGCAACAGGTGCCACAGGAGAGCATCACAGGAGTGTTCTTTGCTCAGCGATGTCAAGGAAGAGGTAGAATGCAGATACGAAAGAGTAGCATTTGGAAGTGAAGCATGAGGAACCCATGTACTTCCAGCATCTCTCTTCAAGGTGTGTCTATTGATGCTGCCTAGGGAAAGCCCCCCTTTTTCTAAGAAACGCACATCCTTCATCCTAGGACGTTTACTGAACTGTCTTCTTCCTAGGTTTGGCGTTTACACCATTAATACATGAGTCTTGCCTCATGTACTGAACACTTACAGAGTAACTGATATGCCAGTATGCCTGAGGACAGGAATATTATTAGGGCACTAATTAATATTAATGAGCATCTTTTTACCTAGTATTCCACCTTTACATGTCCATTTCTTTTCATACTGTCCTGTCTACA